CTTGTAGACCTTACCTTTATAAAACAGCATCGTCCATCCCCTTTAGGATTCCCTTCGCTATCCTTGTAGACCTTACCTTTATAAAACAGCATCGTCCATCCCCTTTAGGATTCCCTTCGCTATCCTTGTAGAGTTTGAGCTTGAGTCCACGGTTAACAGGGTCTGCCATAATGAGGCCGTACTTGCCCATCAGTTCCCGGTACTCCTCATCAGTGATATCCAGAGGCAGGCCTGACACATACACATTGGTGTTCTTTGATTCGTCAACATCAAACCAGGAGGGAGCTGCAGATACCAGGCAGAAATTTAAACTTGCACCTCTTATTTCCCATATTAAATAGATTTCTATATGTGTGGTAAAATAAGAATCATTGACATTATGAATATCAAAACAAATAAGTTACTTACATTAAAACATATTACGCATTTATTAATTAGAAAATAGATCTGATGAAATAACAAATATTGATTTCTCAAAATGGTTAAATATAGATGCAAGCTACACATTATTTTATTCTGATAAATTGTCCATACCTTGTCCTTTAATTTTTCAGATGACTTTTTGAAACAATCTCAATAAAAATACTAAATACCAAGTCTTAACACCAAGCTGTATACACATTAATACAACACATTTGTAATTACGTTCTTCTGGCTTTTTTGGTTCTGCTGTCTTTTTTCGTTTCTTCCCCTTCTTGTTCTTCTGATTTTCATCTGCTGCCTTTTCCTCTGTGTTTTCCTTTTTGTAATAATCATATCCACAATACTCCACAGCTGCCTCATGTCCATAGTAGTATGCGTAGTTATCAAAATATTTCTTCCTGTATTCGTCACTGTTTTCATCGACTGAGTTTTCACTATCTTCCTCTCCATTCCCCTTGGCATCCATGCCTCCTGTCGCCTCCTGACCTTGTGCCCATTGTTCACCGTAATATTTCTTACAGTATTGCTCATACCACTCTTTGTACTCAAGGCTATTGGTATCTGCTGGGGCAGCTGGGAAATCGGAGGATGCAGAGTCTGCTTCTGCAATACCATAGCCCATTTGATATCGGGCTATAAAATCATCATCAATCTATAACAAAAAGCATTAAAGTGCAACAAATTAATAATCCTATCAATCAAGCCCAATAGTTTTCTTTTCATGTATTAGAAGCAATTGTTTTTCTATTTCTGGGAAAAGGATATACTGCAAATATATGAAATACCTTTGGAAACCAGGCCTTTTTTCCATCATCCCATTCATATTCTGTTCCATCCTCATCAACCTTGGTCTTGATCTTTTTCTGTTCTTCCTCTATCTTTTCCTGCACCAGCTGTGCCTCAAAATCTGGTTCATCCATTGGGAAGGCAGGGAGTGAGAGAGTTAACCCTTGAAATAGTAAATGAAAATATTTAGTACTGCAAAGTGCTTCCTATCCATTGATCAGTGTCACAACCTTATACTATTTCCTTTGACCTGTGCTTGATATGGTAATAGTAGGTGCCTTACTTTACTTTGAATTCATAAGCCCTCCATAATTGGTCCCTCTCCATAATTACTGATTTTTTTTCAGACACATTGTCATTAATGTCTTCTGCCAAGTTCTTGTGGTCTTTAAAATGTACTAACTAAAATGTTGAATTGAATTTCTCTGGTCCGAAACCAACTGCAAACAAAAAAGTGTCGCTGACACAGACACACTCTAATAGTGTTGGCCTACTAAAAACGTGCATAGGCTAATTATCTAGCTTTGCGTTCGCGTTTAGAAATTAACTCCTATGTAATTATCTTAAATAACAAGAATAGAAAATATGAATTATCTCCCTTTTAGTGTAAATAATAGGAGTCTGGTGTCTCCATATGTACGCATATTCATATTCAATTCAAGACTGTTTATGTCTAATGTGATTTGTTTTGTCAGCATTCAGGGAAAAAATACTTTTTGTCAGTGTATTAATTCTTCATTTCAAATATAAGGTGATCATCAGTTCGTCACAACCTAGGCCTAACGTAAGATGCACGTTTCACCGAAACCATTTATTTTTGTTCCATGAATATAGAATACCTCCCCCATAACAACAACAATGTTAGTTATTCGTCTGATACGTAACATGTACTTAACTAATATATACAAATACGCATGCATTACCTTTCTTTTATATATATATAGAAAACGCAAAAATTAAACCGTAAACAATGTGGTTTGATTTTCCTCAATATTGGCGGCCATTTTAGCCTAACTGTCGTATAGTAGTCGTAATGTATGTCGTCCATATTAAAATCAAAAGAAAATAAATATGGCTTTCATGAACGGTGAAAGCTAGTAATTTCAGTTTTCTTGTGATATTTTGCACTGATTAAACTAAGTAAATTGTCTATTTTTCATATTTATTAGCCTAATTCACGACAACCTGGCCAAAGGGAAATAACTCCTACTTATTGTACTTTATGTTTGCAGACTACAATGTAAATCTTTCCGTGTGCACAAGCTTAAAGGATCACGATTCACATTTCATTATACTTCAGTTACATGTGCTATCTCGGGATGCTTTCGTTTTTAATATAGAGTTTTACTGGAAATAGTATTTATTTAACTATCAAAAAGTCTCCGTGTTTCGAGTTTACCGTTTTTATCGGATCAAATTAAGAGCAGATGTACAGTAGTGATAACAATATCAAAAATAACAAAAAAAGGATCAGTTAGTGAGCGTTTCATATTTGTGGACATGTTTTCTCGACAGAAGGACCTGATTAGTGGGGATGGTATTCATGTTCCTTAAAAGTGGGACGCATACATATTCTCATGGCTCAATCCAGGGGCTTCATTATCAATTGACCGGGAGGTACGTTTACTGAGCACATTGTTCCGACTTGCTGATGTCTGAGGCAGAATCAGCATCTTCTCATTTTATGTGTCCTCTTTTTCAGCAATGAGTGTCTAAAAATTATAGAGCGCTGTGCATTGTGAGAACGTTTAGCGTAGATCTATAGGAAACTAATGGTAATATTTGTCAGAAAAGTGAACTTTCTACAACAACTAACGTATAGCGTGTAATTAAGTCAGACATAAGCTGCACTGGAGTGGAAAATCATCAAGTCGACAAACTGTTTGACAGTATTTATATACAGATTATTGGGTTATTGAAAACGACGATGTTCACGTGTACTTTTGGGATGGAAAATACTAGTGACGAAAATACGAAGATGGATGACAAGGAAGCTTCATTAAATTTAATGTCGGATTGAGAAAGCTGTGTAAACAAATAGGCTAACGATGGATACATCAATCTATCAATATTAGAAAAGCCACGCTACACAATTAAAACAAGAGTATCAGTGGAACTGATGTATGCTCGTCGAAAACAACTTTATTGGAGGCTTTTCCTGTAAACTTGTGAATTTTTGCATGACACATATTGGTAAAATTATGTTGAAATGGGGAGTTTTGAGGAAGAAAACAATTACAAGTCAGGCAGACATCTTGAAAGAAAAGCTGTATGATTCTGATAATAACATATAGCAGATGTAAATTTAAATGAATTTTTGGAACATTATAATGTAATTAAATTTAGTAAAAATTATTCTGAAAAGTTGGATGGCCTAATCTCATTGGAAGAAGCTGGCAAAACGTTAAGACGTATGAAAAATGATAAAAGTCCAGGCATAGATGTCTTTACGGTTGAATTTTATAAGTGTTTTTGGAAATAATTTTTTTTTGGAAAAAAATGGGGAGTTTTGAGGAAGAAAAATCATGTTTTAACACACACACACATGTATATGTGTCTGATATTTTAGCAAGGGGCAATAACTCTATTATAAAGGGGCAGTTGATCCTGAATACAGTACAGTGCACATTACCTTAGTGTGACTGATGTACACACCAAGATTAATGATCCTAGCTTAACTACAGGCAAAGATATGTTCCGGACACGGAAAGGACGGACGGACGAAAACACGGACGGACAAAGCGGCAACTATAAATATTTTCGGTGAGCATACAAATAGAACCGGAATAAATTTAAGCTATAAAAAAAAATAAAAAAATACTACTCAATCAAAAAATGGAACTTGAGTAAATGTCATCAGAAAAAAAGGTAACTTTACAGAGGAGGGCAAACCCTAATAATATAAACAAGAAATCTACGGAAGGTGATGTGTCGCCTGCCCCCACTGGCGGCAATGTTGATTCATAAATTGGAATCAAAATCAGACTTAAGAGGGTAATTGATATCATATAACAACGTATATAGAAAGTTTCATGAAAACCAAAAGCATTCATTAGAGTGATTCCTACAACTTACCTTTGTTCCACAGGCGACACAATACAGGAACCTGTGCATATGCAGGACCGACATTTGGTCCAAACCTCTGAAGCATAAAAAAAAGAAACGAGAAAGACATACAGTAGTTGTAAGTAAGGCTATACACACTGGTTACTCTGACTATTACTTTTATATAGCAGCATTACAGAATACTGTTCTACCCGACAGAAAATCTGCCAACCAAACATTATATCAGTATATAAACACAACACAAGTAACGTAATACATATTACCAGTCTCACAGCACAGAGGTTACGGATCTCTTCAGATTCAAATTAGACAAACACACGTCAATTGTAGGGAAAACATACTATAGAAAAGAAGAAAATCAGTACCAGAATCAACATTACAAAAGTGTAAGACTTCTTAAGGTAGCATTCGAATCAGGGACGTGAATACCAGAGGGAAGTGTCCTCGGGACCTGTCATATGTCAATAACTTACCAGAATGTATGGATGCTTTATCGTTCCTCTTTTCGGATGGTACCAACATATATAACAGGGACAACAATACCAACTGTATAAATTACGACACAGTCACTGAGGTCCCATCCAAACTAGTGCAAAGTAGATCAATAATCTCAATAAAAATAAGTTCACATGAATGCAAAGATACACCAAAGGAAATAGTCAAAGTTGTTTTAAATGCATAGTCAAGGACGAATTCTAGGGGAAATGACGACAAACTTCCATTACGGGCATATAAACACAGTCTTCAGTAGAGCCGTGGTCCCAACCCGCCGTACTTGCAAGTGCGTGCTGTCTACTTGCAAAAACGTGGGCAAAATGTGGGGATCCGTACGTGGTAAGTACCGCCTCAGTACGGATTTGGGAGCACGCAGGCACGCCGTAGCACTTTTAGTGCATGAGGAACTTTCGCTGCATTCGGGATGCGGTCGGGCTACGGATTCACCCCAGTACGGGTGACACGCGTGCCTTCTACAGCCAATGGTTAAAATTTTCCCACGGTCACTTGCTCTACGTGATAAGTGCGTGGTCTGTGCTTACCAGGCACTTCCCCAGTTCTACTGTCCAATGAGCACGCAGAACGCAGAATGAGTGCGCTGCCACTTGAAGCTGCTCTTGCAGCATCAGAACCCGGAGTCTGCGGTGGAATGGGCAACATATTGAGGCAGCAGCAGCTGGGACTTCTGGAGAACCTCGGAAGGTCGTTCTATATATCCCTGCTCTTGCCACTCCCTCCCCACGTTTTCAGAAAACGTGGCGGCCGTAGCCTCCCCAAAAATAGAAAACTTACACATGCATTGACTTTTAAACTTCTTTATAAAGCTTTAGCAATTAGCCACACCCGGAGTACGAACAAAATGTGTGAAATCCCCATACACAAAAACAAAAACAAAAACTGGAAAACTGGCGAATGGACTACGAAGAACGACCCAGCAAATTCAAGGAATGAATATCATACGACGATAGAATAAAATCAATAAAATTATCAACACTAATTTACTACCGTACAGAAGACTGAAGAGACGGGAAAAAATATCTGATAGCTTAACCATATTCGGAATAACCACAGTTTGCTAAATCTGTCATAGTTCATGCTTGACAAAAAGAGAAATAGGTTTGTTTGAAAACAAACAAACACTGCCAAATTTCCTGAGAGACGAAATAGTCGTTTGTTATACTTCTGTATTACTATTCCTCCGAAAACCAATTAATGATAAGGATGTGTACCTACCTTGTTTATATTGGTTCTGAAATTTCAGTTATCGCTGGCTCTAGTTGCTCTACCGAGCTATTACAAAGATTCTTTATACCATACTAAGTGCCATTAAAACAAGGTTACAATCGGATTGTGATTAAGAGGTGGTATTAATGGAATGTGGATTTTCAAGAAAAATGATTTTGCAGCATATTTTGTGAAAAGCACAACAAAAACTAGAATGAAATATACCAATGATGAAATCATGAGAATGATAGATCTTGTATTGTTGACAATATATCTTTGTTAGGTTCAAAGGTAGGATTTTCCTGCCGTCTGTTTACTTCCCCATGTGAACAAACTATGCCCCTCTTCTGAACGACTTGCTTTTGTTTTCATACGAGGCTGAATTCATTGATGAGAATATTAGGGCTGGTAACAAAACCCTCACTAAGACCTTCATTTTCGCAGTCACCTATATCGACAATGAGCTGACCACATCGATCGTATATACACCTTCCTGAGCTTTAAATCAAGGACACTATCAATCTCTACTTCGGCCGCTTTATTCGATCTTCCACCATCACCGACAGGGACGGCTTACAATTTCGTGTTCAAGAGTTTTCTTCAAATATTATATGACTTCCATGATTGATGTCGACTGCCGACAGACACACGTATTACACAGGGGTTCTATAGATGTCGAATGCCGACAGACACACTTACTACACAGGGGTTCTATAGATGTCCCCTGCCGACAGACACACGTATTACACAGGGGTTCTATAGATGTCGACTGCCGACAGACACGCTTACTACACAGGGGTTCTATAGATGTCGACTGCCGACAGACACACTTACTACACAGGGGTTCTATAGATGTCGACTGCCTATGGACACACTTACTACACAGGGGTTTTATAGATGTCGACTGCCTACGGACACACTTACTACCCAGGGGTTCTATATATGTCGACTGCCGACAGACACCCTTACTACACAGGGGTTCTATAAGTGTCGACTGCCTATGGACACACTTAGTACACAGGGGTTTTATAGATGTCGACTTCCGTCAGACACACTTACTACACAGGAGTTCTATAGATGTCGGCTGCCGACAGGCACACTTACTACACAGGGGTTCTATAAGTGTCGACTGCCTATGGACACACTTAGTACACAGGGGTTTTATAGATGTCGTCTGCCTACGGACACACTTACTCCACAGGGGTTCTACATATGTCGACTGCCGACAGACACACTTCC